TTCATTTGGGTCACAGTGTGTAGAGGTTTCAGTCCATAGTCGGCTGGCTCTAAGGCAGAGTGAAATGGCAGAGGGGTATCGCAGAGGGGAAACAGTCCATAGCAGGGTAGGCAGGAAGCAGCACACAAAATCAAGGGAGGAAGAGGGATGATCTATAGGTGTCTTCTTCCTTTGAGGAAGCTATATACAGCAACCCACCTCTTCTCACCAGGCTTTACCTCCCAGCATCACACTCAGCTACAGTGTCACATACCCATGATCCAGTCACCTCCCAAAGCCCCCCCTCCATGAGTACATGAGGCTTTGGGAGGACATCTAGATATCAACCCTAACAAGGTCTGAGATCTGCTACGTTTGACTTTTCTACTGACAGCATCAGCACCACCCACTGCCCCAGCCACCACCTCCTAGTGCTTACTTAGCATGGGGCAGATGATAATCCGGAAAGAATGAGGAACAGAAACGAAAGGTGCTTTTGCAGGGCGTGGTGGTGCACGCCTGTAAATCCCAGCACTCCGGAGGCTGAGGCATGAGGATCCCTGAGTTCGAGGCCAGCCTGGACTACATAGTGAGTTCAAGACCAGCCTGAACTCTATATTGAGACCCTGTCTCAAAGAACAGGAAAAAAAAGTTGCTTTTTCCTTCATGCTGAGTCTTTGTGAGAGACCAAGTTGTGAATGGAGATAAATTATTCAATAAGATCATTTGAAAACTATTTCCCCCTCTCCTTTTCTAAACTGAAATTTAGATATACTGATATTGTTCACAATTCCCGAACCACCGCCTCTGGTTGTAGAGCTAATTGGACAATTAGACTGGGGAAGCTGTTTTTAGCCTTCAAATTAACGGCAGGGAGCACATTAGAAAGTTCCAAGGGTGAGTGAGGTTCGAAATAGACTCCTGGTTGTAGTTCAGAAACTGGGACACGCATGCAGAGCTGCAGGCAGCCGCCCACCTCTTCCTTGGCTTGAACTGAGTCCACTCGCGTTCAGACTGGTCAGAACCATCCACTGACCCGGCTCCAGGGTGGGCTGGGGACCGATACTCTCCACCAAGTGACCATGATTCGCAGACCAAGCTCCACAGGGTAAATTCTGGACTTTCTTTGGAAGACAGTCCCAGTGTGTCTTGAATTACAGAATGAATAAGGAAAATGTTTATCTCCTTAGCGGCGTACAGGGAGAAAATAACAGAATTTGGCCTTTTCTGTGAGAAGTAATAAGGCAATTTCCATTCATAGTGCTTTTCCAGGAGAACCTGTCTGTGGCCTTAATGAAAACCGAATGTGGCCGAGAAGCTGCCATGGCTGACTGGAGGGCTTTGTATGCCCCTTTCCATTCTCCTCTCACATGCTAGCCCCTCTCCCCTGCTTCTTCTCCTTCTCCCTCTTCCTTCCTTTACAATGCCTGCTTTCCCGACTATGAGTGGGGATTTCATCACTTTTCCACGCGTGCACAGTGGGACAGTTCAGCAAGAGCCACTCATCTGGTTGAGGCCATGCGGAGCGAAGTCTGGGACACTCGCTGGCCACTCAGGCTGAAACGCTGGTGGCCCAGCTCTCTTCCCTGCTCCCCTGCTCCGTCCTGCAGGGTAGGGATGGCTCTCAGCCGGAGGTGGCCTGGGCTCCTCCCCATGCCGCTGCTCCACCTGCCACCTGCCACCCTGCTCCGGCTTCAAGTGCCCTCTGCTAAGGAGTCCTGGCCCTTTGCAGGGTCACCTGATTTGGCCAAGCCCACCGAGGATGATTTCCCCTTCCTAAGGTCAACTGATTAGAGTCTGGTTTGAGGTCTGAGTTCCAGACACAAAACGCCTTCATCCTTATGAGAATTGGGCATTGTCTGAGTTCTGTCTGCCCCAGGGAAGCCAGCACTTAGGGTGTTAAGATTCCCGTGTGCCGAGCACTTAGCGTAGCAGCTCACATGCTGCCTCAGTAAGCAATCTCCCAGTGTGGATGTCTCTGTAAACCCCATTTCCCTTCCTGCATGGATTTTGAAATTATAGTCTTTTAAGCAGCGAGAAACATGATAGAATGTTGCTCTGTATTTGGATACTCCACAGAAAGCATCAACAAACTCTAAAGCCATCACGGTTATTTTATTTGTGGAAAGTTGATGAATTGGTTCAAATTATTTTAAACTCTGCAGTTAACAAAAGAAAAAAAGACCAGGATATCATGCATGTTGGAAGGCCATCTATAATGTGGAATAATGTGAAGTAGGGTCCCTGCAATTTTTTTTTTTTTTTGCCTTTTAACGAGAAGAATGCACCTTAGGATCCATGCCTTAAACAGTGACATTTTTCAGAAAGAAACATTTTCTTTCTGCCCATGCTCTGAATATAAAATGCACACTTCAAATGCCCCATTCATGCAGAAGCCCCTGCCTCTCCGCCCTGCAGTGGTTCAGGCAGAAAAGGCAGCATTGTGCACGCCAGGGACGGGCTGCAACAATGCCAATGCCTCTCCCCATGGCTGGGGAAGAAAGGCGCCCGCAAGAGGTTAACAGTAATATTTTGCAAATTGAGGCAAGTGGGGGAAATACATTAACATAAGAAAAGGTAGCCTGGGGGGATTTTTCCACTCCAATGTTTGGTGCTGAGAGCTGAGAGTCACCAAGGAGCAGGCTCATTGGACCCTGTGTCTCCTACTGCTCTCGGGATGCGCTGTGAGGAGCTCCCGCTCCTGTGAGACAGGCATGCAGCTACGCAGGGGGAAACCATCCCTGCCAGGAGGAAAGCCTCATGGGGGGTTTATTACAACAATAAAGCAAGAGGACTCCTCAGGAATCCTTTTGAGATTTCCTAAGTCTGTCAGGACCAGGCAAGGAGGTTTGAGATTCAGTCAAAGTCTTGAGCAACAATTTTAATTTTTGACTAGAATGAGCCTGAAGTGTCTGCAATTAATTTAACTCACATTTCCCAGATGTTACTCATTTCAGAAATCCTGTCAGCCCAGTGTCTGGATGTGGTTAGCAGGTGTTTCCCTTCTGAAACGCCTAGACTTACTTAAATATTGCTTTGTAGTAAATACACAATTGGGAACTGTAATTATTTTTTGTTAGTTGAAAATATTCAAAACAAGTATAAAAGATTCTCATCGACTTTCTCAAATTAATACTAATTAGTTGTTATCTGTTTCCATGAAGATGTCAAGTCGGTTTTCATTTTTAGTTTTTAATTTTTTCTTCTTGTGTTGCTAGGGGTGGAACTGAAGCCGACGGAGCACTGATTACCATCCAGCTGCGTCTCCAGAGGGCTGGCGTTTAAGTCAGTCTTTCCTTACTCTTATGAATGACTGGCCAGTAAAAAAAAAGGGCTTGATTTTGAGTTTTATTAGGATTAACACCACAGTGAGCAAGGCTGTCCAAATCAAGTCAGGTTGGACTTTCTCCATAAATCAAGGTAGAGAGGGCATCTTATTACAGATAATTTTTATGACATGACACTCTGATATGTATAGAAGAAATGAAAAAAACATGTATTTTATTTCTGAGAAAGGTATTTCCTCACTAAGAAGATATAATTTGTGCCATTTTCTTCTTTTTATGAGACAGGGTCTCACTATGTAGTTCAGGCTGACCTTGAACTCATTGTGTAGCCCAGGCTGGCCTCAAACTTGCAGCGATCCTCCTGCCTCAGCCTCCTGAGTGCTGAAATTATAGACATGTACTACCACACCCGGCTCAGAAGACGTAACTTATGTTAATTAAAAACTAAAATAGCATAAGATTAAAGACAGTCATCCAAGACTTGGCACATTTGTCTAGAAGCTAATAATAAAAATTACAGTGGTACCTTGGTACGCGAACACTTTTGTTTGCAAACGATTTGATTTGCAAACAGAAGCATTTGGCAAAATTTTGCTTTTGTTTGCAAACTCTGCACTGGGTGACAAACACAACCACAGCCACCTTTCCTGCACAAACACAAACGTAGCCATCTTTTCCAAAATCATAAAACCAATAAGTTCATGAACTGAGGCACCACTGTATTTGTAAATTAATGGATAATATGAGAGAATCAAAAGAGAAACAAAGCTGTATCATGATCTTTCCATTATATGCAGATAACTTCAAATTTTCTGTTCAATAAAAGGGGAAATCTGTATTAAAATTTTATCCCCCTTCCTTTGTTTATAAATTTTCTGCGTGCATGTTGAAGAGGTCAGGTTTTCAGATCTTCATCCCTGAGAAAGTGACCTGGCTAAGCTGATCTACTTTCTCAATACAAGTAACTCTAAAGCAGTCAATAAACAGGCATTCTAAAGTGAAGCTTGACAGAAAAGGAACAAAAAAGGAGGAAGACAATACAGTGGCGCTAGAAATAAACGCCTTTGATGTTGGAATTGCCATTCGGTTGGTTCCTTTACTGCTCTCTGAGGAGCTTTGAACCTGGCGCTCCCTATCCACGGAAGTGAAAGCTGCATCCCAGAGCTGAACTGCCACGGTTCATGGCGTCCAGGTCCCGCTTTCCCAACCCCGGCAGACAGACCCAAACTCTCATGCACAGTGGGGCCCGCGGAGCCCAGGAAGGGCCGCTTTCCAGAGCCCGCTGCTCTCGCAGGAGACCCCCTTGGAGCCTGGGAGGGTGGGGACCCCTGCTGACCTGCAGCCGGCCCTGGACCGAGTCGTGCTGTCCGACAGCGTCTGCAGGTCTGCCCTTTGCGACGGTGCCTGGAACGCGGTCCTCCCAGCCTGCGAGGGGAAGGCCGAGCGGAGTCTGGGCGAAGGCGAAGGCGGCTGAAGAGGAGGCCGCCGGCGGGGTGCAGACCCCTCCCAGCGGCCCTTCTCGGGCACACGTGGCCGGGGTTGCTTTCCTTCTAGCACTTCTTCCTCTCAGTTCAGGAGGCAAAAGACCCTGGTCTCCCCTGGTTTCCATTCAGCTGAACTTAGCACGTCCTACTCCGTTTCCCAGCGGGCTTCCTTGGGGACCGAAGTGTAGCCCTTACAGACGTTGGCGCCATGTGCCTCGGAATGATGCTGTTCCTTCTCTTCCCTTCCCAGCACGGAGAACTAAGGCTTGATGCTATTGATAAATTAACCCACAGATACCAAAACCCATGGTAAGTACATACATAAATACATTTTAATTAATGAATTTCCTACCTAAATTAGTAACAGCTATTTTTTTCTTAAGCTTTTAAAAGTATACTACCACTTTAATTTATTCCATATAGATTTCGGGGTAAATTATGATTTTACTGCTGATAAACACTATAAATTTCCACTACCTGGTCTCTTTAATTAAGAGAAGGAAGGAAGGAAAGCAAACAGAGTAAGAAACTGTTTAGAGTATAGTAAAGAGAAGGCTCCAACCTGCAGCTCTTAGAAGTGGCAGCCTCCCGCGGGGAATGTAGTTAGTATGTGCTGCAAACTTCTACTAATAAAAATAAAAACTGGAAAAAGTAGAATGGCAACTGGATGGGATTAGCTTTAACTTTATAAACCATGCTTTCTGTGGAAAAAACAATTTTTTAAAAGAAAAAAAAAGCTCATTTCATGCTGTTGGCCTGGAAACCATAATAATGGGTAACATGGGTTGATGGACATGACCCTGCCGAAGTCACAGGACAGCTCAATGCACGCTGTCGTAAGGAAGCTCCTGACCCAAACTAGACACATCTGGCTCAATGCTTGTTAAAGGACAGGACGAGAGCAGCTCTGGGCGTCATCAGCGGAGCACGTCACTCGGGTGGCTGAAGGAAGGGCCACCACCGCGCCTGCAGACTGCAGAGTGTGTGTGTGTCCATTGTCCTGGGCCTCTGGGACTTATACCACCTCATCTCTCATTTTTAAAGGGTACAGTCATTAGCATGTATGAACTATTGGATTTTAGTCTCTTTCTGCTAAAACTACAGCAAAATTAACTGCATGGACTAGAGACAGAACTTCCAGCCCCATGTCAAGAGCCTGTCAGGCGCTATTCCAGGAGAGTGAAAGATCTCACTGGGAATTCCCTGTAACTTACGAGGGATACCTCACACTTAGAGCTGTTCAGAAACAAGTTCACATTTTATTCCATGAAAGTATGTTCTCATTAAAATGTCACAATTCTTTGTTTAAATAACATTGCTGGCATCTACTGCAAACTCTATCAAGTATTTCAACACAAACTAAAATATCAGAGACCACTGGAAATCAAGGAAATTTTACCGAGTGTTGGTGATGAAAGTATGAAAATGTTCTACATTTATGTCAACATAAAAAACTCGTTGGAAAGTATCTGAGAAACACTGGCGTTTCTAACATTTTCCCTGGATGGAGAAATGTTGGATACATTTATTTCTGGAGACTATGCTATGGATTTTATCAGAACACGAGTGTACAATATGTTTATGAAAAAATCCTTATAGGGGGCTGGGGATTTAGCTCAGTGGCTCTGCCTCTGCCTCACAAGTGCAAGGTCCTGAGTTCAATCCCCAGGACCAGAAAAAAAATTCTTCTAGCATTTGGGAATCCTATGCAGTTTGGAAACTGGACATAAATAAAGAACAATAGTCAAATCAATTTGTGTATGTTGGACACTGTGCTAGTCAGCTTTCTCTTACTGTAACAAATGCCTGAGATAATCAGCTTCTAAAGAGAAAAGGTTTGCTTAGCCATTCCAGTTGGTCAGTTGGCAGGGCGGGGAGCAGTGGCACAGCCAGGCCCCCCGCCTCGGGCTGGGCTATGAAAGGCGGGGAAGAAAGGACAGGGACCTCTCTCTGATCTGCAGACCTCCCTCGAGGGTCTGGGGGGTCGGCCACATCTGGCCCGTGCTAAGCAGGCGCTCTGCACTGGGTGCTCCCTCAACCCCAGCTCCACCTCTTCAGGGCTCTGCCAGCTCCCAGCAGCTTCATAACCTCAGCCGACCAGATTCAGAGTGAGGACATGACTAGAAATTATACCTACACAGTTTCAAAATGCTTCAACTACTGACACTAGTGCTAAGAGCGGGACACGGGTCCCCTGCTGTGCCTCCCTCCTGAGATCTGGCCCCGGCAGCGCTTAGAGGCGCCCCTGTCTTGGGCAGCCATGCTAATCCAGTGCCCACGGCCCACGGGGCACCCACAGGCTGGACCATGATGTGTTTTCTCGCAGGGCTGGCGCTCAGCCTCCTGGCCAGGCCCACAGTCAGCAGCAGCGACGCAGCCCGTTCAGCCCCTCTGCTGGAAACATGGCTGGAGTCGGCGTGGTGAGCAAGCCAGCCTGGCAGATGCCTTTCTGGAACTTACATTGTAGGGAGGAGAGAGAAAGTAAAGCAGCCAAGTGGCTGGCGGGGGATGTAGCTCAGTGGTGCTGTGCCTGCCTTGAAAGTGCAAGGTCCTGAGTTTGATCCCGGGAACAACAACAACAAAAAACAAACCCGACCAGATGGCTTTGAAAGTACAAATTCCTCATGCCTTTTTTTGTGGTGGCGGGAATGGAGCATGCTCTTTCATTTCTAAAGTTACAATTCATGCTGCAGCGAGGAACCAATTAGATAGCGGTGTCATAAGAAGCTCGTGTCCTGCTCTAGTCCGTCCCGCACCGCATCGTAGAGCAGTTCACCACAGAGCCCTGGCCAGACTCGAGGAGCAGATTCTTCTGGCTGCCCAGGAGGAGTCAGCTCGGTGGTCAGCAGGGCCTGCTCCACACGGAGCTCACCTCGCCACCGTCTCCCAGCCCAGTGGACACCAGGCCAGGGAAGGGTGAGAAGAGACCACCCCGGAACCAGGAGCAGGCCCTGAGGAGGGAGAGCAAGCAGGGTTCAGGCCCTGCCAGGCCTGTTGTCGGCTTGGGCTGGGTCTGCGGGCCGTGCCGGCCATGGACCTTACCTGTGAGCTCACATCTTACTTCATTAGCTGTGACACTTTGGACAGAGGCCTTAAACAAGGTCTGGGTTTTCCAGTCTATAAAAACCCTCTATAACAAATCTACTCCAAGGGTTACTGTAGAGATTATGTTGTCACAGATAACAGCACTGGGTGTACACTGCATGCTCAGGGCATAGTGTAATAACTCGCCACCCAAAACAGGGCATTTCTGGGCGTCAAAGAGGACACTAATCAATGGGTCTGCAGGGTAGGGGACTAAACTGAAGCTGTCCGAACAAAGCAGGACACTCAATAAATATCACCTCTTAGCTAAATAAGTGGAGCACACGGAAATACTGTAACAGATGCATCTGTTAAATTTATAGCCAAAAATAATCAGTATAAATATTAAATATGGTATAGAAAGTTCATATGGTCTAGCTGAGTTGATTCCCCCAAAAGAGAACAAAAAGTCTAAGAAATGGGGAAAAAGTGAAGGAAAAAATGAAAAGCAATCAATAAAAAGTTCTAAGATCCAGAAAGAGGTCAGAGGAAACAAAAATAAGGAAACCAATAATTCAAGAAAACGTCTCAGAAGGAAACATTGAAATGTCCAATTGAAAGCTTTCCTCACACCTCACACGGGAATGGAGATCCCTAAAAGCAGAAGCCCCAGGCTGAGGTGAGCCAGGCACACCTGCAGGGTCCTGCCGGGAGGAGGCCAGGCTGAGCCTCCCCAGAAGGGAGGCTGTGACCCTGTGGTCTCAACAGCACCCCTGGACTCTCCAGGGCCCTGCAGCAGGAATCCTGGGACCAACAGAAATGGCTGCCGACCTGGGATTCTGTGCACAGCCAATGATCATAGGGAAAGATAGAAGGGCAAGCCTGTGAGTGCTTTTCCCAGGAGGCAAGTGGAAAATGTTTTCTTGTAAAACAAGGGGCTAAACCGGATGTGGTGCACACACTTGTAATCCCAGCATACAGGAGGCTGAGGCGGGAGGATTGACATGAGTTCGAGGCCAGTCTGAGCAACATAGTGAGTATAAGGCCAGCCTGGCCTACATATCAAGACCTTTCTCAAAAAACAAAAAACAGGCCAGGGATTTAGCTCAGTGGTTCCACTGCCTGCCTCAAAAGCACAAGATCCTGAGTTCGATTCCCCAGTACCAAAAAAAAAAGTGGAGGGGGGGGATTGGTAAAACAAGGAAAAAGAAAGGAATGTAGCTGGTGTGTTGGCACACACCTGTGATCCTAGAGCTCAGGAAGCTGAGGCAGGAGGATCAACACGAGTCTGAGGCCAGCCTGGGTTACATAGTGAGGCCCTCTCTCAAAAAACAAAAACAAAAATGAAATGTAATCCAAGAAACAAGGCGCCCAGCAAAGGTGAGGTGCAGAGTAAACTCCCAAGGTGGTGTTAAAGGAAGCACCAGGAGCAGCCTCCGAGAGCCCCAGTGCCCTCGCCAGTGCCACCAGGAGGAGTGTGGTGTGTCTGTCCGTCCAGTAGACACGGAGGCCCAGCGCCCCACGAGGCCTGGGGTTCCAGCAGGAGCAAGACAGACCCGGCTCCTCCACTGCTATGTTCTCTCAGGGAGACGGCACGCAGCCAGCCTGGTGTCCGACAGTGCATGAGGAGGAAGTTGGATTGTTGTAGTCGGGTTTGCAGAGGGAATAGATTTAACACAGGACACATAATTTGCCGGATCATTTTATAATATTCACCCAAAAAGTCAATGCAGAGGAGTGCAAGAGATCTGTCCACACACTACAGACCCAAAGAATCCAGCCGAGGGCCTGGATCCCAGCAATGCCCCACACAAATCCAGCTGAAGCCCTAGAATCCAAGGCAGTGTCCTGCACGAGTCCAGCCAGAGGCCTAGAGCCCACGGCAATGTCTCCTGCTCATCTGTATTGAGGATCCGCACCCAGAAGGCCCAAAGGCCAGTAGTGGAAGCCAGAAAACCTGTACAAGCTGGTGAAGGATTTGTGTCACCAGAGGGATCCGCACTGGAGCCAGGAAGTGATGCTCATGGTGAAGATCAGAGCTCCCCTGAGGAGAACAGCAGCCATTCCCAGCAACAGCGAGGACCCAGGCTCCACCTCCCACGAGAACAGCCTAGTTTGCATCAGGGAAACCAACTGCAGGGATGTAGCTCAGTGGCACTACACCTGCCTGGCAAGTGTGAGGTCCTGAGTTCGATTTCAGGCACCAAAAAAAAAAAGGAAAACCAACTGCAGCAAGCTTCTCCCAGAAAATCAACAGCCCACAATCTCCCCCCGCCTGTTCTCTT